AGAATACGAAAACATTGGTGAATGCCACAAATTCTCCTAAATCACTCGTACGCACAACTTCAGAACAAATCTGTGCGTACGAACGGTTCTTGCATAAAGTACATGTGTCAAACACAAGGCCCGTGGGGTGATTCTTTAAAAAAACACATCCTAAAATTACAAACTTTAAACAACGTATGGTGGTGTTAAAGAAATAATAACATGACCACCTGCACTGATTAGAAAATTTTTATCTAATCTTAAAACAAAAGTACAAATAAACTCAATGAACTTTGGTTACGAACACACCAAAAAAGAAAGATTTCCTGTTTATTGAACACATCCACAATCTGTCATTGGGGCAGAAAAGAGGTAAAGTCTTGGATTTAATAACTGACCAAAATGACTTTGGCAGCAAAAACCTCAGAAAAGAGTTTAGCATTGCTGCAGATCAGACCTCAACATTTACAGAAATGCTTCAGCTCAGCAAGATTCTTGGGATGTCTGGTTTGAGCAGCTCTCTAAAGTCATTCTCCAGCATCTTTGTTGGTTTAGTGTCTGAACTTGAACCGCACCACTCTGTCAGTCTGGAGATTTGAAAATCTATGTAACTCCAACAAGATCGGAGAACATACATTAATAAACTTCATAGTTTAACTTGTTCTTGGAACATAATTTTGTATTGATCTAAGCAAATTCTTCTCAAACATACAGTACCTCATCATTTCAGTTTGAGTCGTATCATCTGAGAAATAAAAAGCGGATCTACTCTACACCACACGGGCTGTGGTTCATTTATCTAATATCCATGGAAACACAATGTGTGTGATAAATATAAGTTTAGGTTGTAATAACATCTTCACATTAGCTCAGAATCAAGTCAGAAAAAAATTGAAGTCACTCACTCATGTAGGGATTACACCCTACAGTCTAAGAACCACTGACCAAGGCTACGGCAAAGCTAAACTCTTATTTCGAAGAGTATGGCTGATATCCATTTTGAGACTCATAGGTAAAATCTCTACCTTTGTCCTTTTTTAGGACTTTAAATACTGATTTCTGAAGAGTTCTTGCCTAAATACGATTTATTTAAAACTTCTAATCCGAGATGACACAATTTGTTGTACCAGGTCTTTGTAAGCAGCCATGATAGAATAATGTAAAAACAAAAAATGTGTTGAATAATAAGAATCTGCTGAGTCACTGGTTACTCAAGGGGAGCACACGGCTTCTCTTTGTTTTCATCAGTCAGGCAGACAGAAATGCAAACTCTAAAGACTAAAAGAATCACTGTGTTAAAGACTTTAAGTTGTAAGAGACGTGACAAGTTAAAAAGATCCTTCCCTCCCAGTTCTGAACTTTAGAGCTCAGATATAATTGAACTGAATTATAGTTTGGGTTTGAGAGAAAATCATAAGTCCTACAGTGACAGACACACATGGTGAAAGAGGATGAAGCAGTGAATTATGAGCAAAAAGTAGTTTGAATCTGAACATATTTCTTGAGGTCAATATGGTGACTTCATTGAATTAAAGTAAATCAAT